TTTCTCCCTTATCAGCTTAAATCACTCATGTCATATCTGAAAACACAAGTAATTCATATGCAAAGGATTCTGAATACTTTTCTGATTACATAGTGCCTCAGAAAAATATTTGAATATTATATGATCCTGATAAAATCACGTTCTAAATAACTGATGATCCCGTCAACTAATGAACTCTTTCAATAGTGATTCTAACTTCCGACATTCTATCGGTATCCTGAAGATCTGTGTTTCCCCTGCCCGATAAGATTATCATGTACCTCCAAATAATAATCTGGAATCTCTAGTGTGTTCCCTGACCACACAGATGTTTTATTTTATTTATGTTCTGATCTCTGATCACTGATCTGATTTCTAATATCTCTGTTTACTAACTGAAATTATTTTTATACGGGGTACTCTGGGACTCTGGTATGACTGAAGACTCTGGCAGGTTCAGTCGCTGCTGGTAATTCCTTGAATAGGTTCAGCACCGACTGGCAATTCCTTATGGACCTAAGGTGACACTTGGGTAACCTCTGCGGCCCCGAGAATCTTTCTTGGGTAGGCTCTCAGGCCCCAAGGTACTCCCTTAGGTTATGCAATTCTGGGGAGCTGCATATGGCGTTCGATTGGAGGGATTACTATAGTTTTTGAAAAATACGTTTTAAACTACTACTATTTTAAAAAGACTAATACCTTTTCACTAGTTTTGTGGGAACACACTAGACATCCTATTCTGATCTCCTGAACCCAGTTATCCGAAACATTTCCTTTGAACTTAAAACTTACTGTCTTTTATTATCTGAGATATCAGTGGGACCTCAACTCAATATAAAAGTCTGTAGATGTCTGAATCAATAAGGAAACATGTGCTTATCTGTTATTTGCATGTTCTTCAGCATCAACTGGTAGTTTTGTATTACTGAACTTTCCAAAGCTCACTCTGTTACTCACATTTTCAGGTTAAAATGATTGAACTAGTGCAGTTGTCGACATCAGTAAAGGAGTTCTACCGGCGTTGCTTGCAAAGTACGGTGCATGTGTTTAGAAGGCATGTAGGTTGTATTTTGGTTTTTATATCCGAGTCTAAAATCTTTTTTATTTTTGAATATTGTTAAATTTTACTGTTGTGTTTATAAATTGTTTTATGATTTTACACGTTTTAACAAAAAAAATTAATTTTTTTGGAAATTTTAAGGTGGGTCGCTCCGGTGACCCTAATGTGACATCTCAAATTGGATCAGGTCACCCGTATCGATACGTGGGTGTTACAGCTACCTCCCCTCAAAATGATTTTACCTTTTAACATAAGAAAAAATTGAAGAAACTACGAGTTCAATAACAGAGGGCAAGGCCTCTAATAAAATCTACTTCACCTCAACATGATTTTGCAGAACTTCAATTACAATTTTACCTTTTAACATGATTTGTACAAAAAGGAAATAGAAATTTTGAACATTCTACTCTACATATAGATTAGATTCAATTTACTCTCGGGGTCAATTTTTCAGCGGGCTGAGATATTAGACATTGTCATCTGATTTATTGATGGATCCGTTGTTGAAGACTGATCAACCGGAATCATTCTTCCAACCGAAAACGCAGGTTTTTTCGGTTCGGGAAGAGTGATCGTATGGCTTCCTAAGACAACTACTACATCGGACATGGTCGGTCTATCTGTCGGATCTTCTTGCACACATAAAAGACCGATATGTATGCATCTCTTGATTTCTTGTATCGAGCATGATTCCAGCAAACAAGGGTCAATCAATTCCAGTTCTTTCCCATCTTTCCATAGTCCCCAAGACTGCCAAATGCCAATGCATCCAAATAATCAAAGACACTAATGAACACAAAATTGCAGGCATGACAAATTACAGGTACACTTACATATGCAAGAAGTGTCTGAGCATGTTTAGTTTGGTAAAAGCCGCTGTTCTTTTGCCCGGAAAGAATCTCGAGCACGATCACGCCGAAGCTAAAAACATCCGATTTCACCGAAAATAATCCTTCCATCGCATATTCCGGAGCCATGTATCCGCTGTTTCAAGTTCAAGTACACACCTTATCAAGAGTGAAATTGTAAAGGCAAAGATAAAAGGGTTACTTACTATGTTCCCACAACTCTCTTAGTGTTGGCTGCATTCTGATTTTCACAGAAAATCCTAGCCATCCCAAAATCTGATATTTTGGCAACCATGTCTTGATCCAGCAATACATTGCTGGGTTTTAGATCTCTATGAATGATTTTAAGTCTCGAATCCTCGTGAAGATAAACAAGTCCTTTGGAAATTCCGGTAATAATGTCACACCATGTCTTCCAATCAATCTTCGAGCGTTTCTCGAAATCTGAAACAAAAACTAAAAGTTAGTTGATACTTTGATAATTCAATTAATACGTTATGAAGCTTGAGGACTAATTTAAAATCTCGACGATAGTTTAATAATGGACTTAAGCTTCTAACCTACCGAGGAAGGGGTACCTACCGAAGATGAAGAAATCAAGGCTTTTGTTGGGCATAAGCTCGTATATGAGCAGCTTTTCATCACCTTCTATCCCACATCCCAATAGCTTGACAAGATTCCTATGTTGAAGCTTTGCAATCAATATAACTTCATTCTTCAACTCTTCTAAGCCTTGCCATGATTTCCTTGACAGCCTTTTAATTGCCACTTCCTTCCCATTCGGTAACACTCCCTTAAAAGTTGTTGAATTCAATTGTCAATGCCATCATTTATTGTAATGATTGATTATAATTATAATTATAATTATAATTATTCATATACGAATTTATCCGAAAAGAACACTCAAATACCTTGTAAACTGTGCCGAAGCCGCCTTGTCCAAGCTTGTTTGAATCGGAGAAACCATTTGTAGCTGCCATTATTGTAGGTAAATCGAGGAAGGGGAACTCTTGAGAAGCTACCAACTGGCCTTCTTCTGTTATGATTACTTCCTTTGGACTTGCCAATTCATATAGCAGCGTTGTCTGGCTTCTTTCCAAATCTGCAAAAATTAAATAAATTATGGGTCTATAATTTGATTCTTTCTTTGATTACTGAAAAACAATTCAATATAAAGATAATCTGGTTGGAAATTTTCTGCAGCTATTTACCGATTTGTTTCCTTCTCATCGACCGGTTATATATAAAACGAGAACCAATGAGAAGTGCAAGAACCAGTGCTGCTGCACCTATTACTGCCATAATCATCCCCATGCTCCATCTATCCCCTGTTTCCAGGCCAAAATTAAATTTGGGGAGGTCAATATGCAATTTTACAACTTTTGGGACTAATTAATGCAAAACTATTTCATGTAAAGTTTAATGTTGATACACCTGCTGGAAATTCTGGGTATATTAATGGAGAATCCGAGGCGTTATAAAATTTGTACATTTGGAACCTGACGTTGCAGTTCCTGCTAAGAACACTTCCCCCTGTCCGAGAACGACAGCAGCCATTAAGATCTTTAAGAGCTGAATTTAAACAATTCAGACAAAAATCACCAGAAATGTCCCTGGTGCATTGAACAAGCCCATATATTCTTTCCTTCTTGTTAAACTTCACTTCTCCGGTCTCGAACATCAGCCCGGAATCATACGCTGCCGTTCTCGATATGTTGTTCATCAAAAACGCCAATACATCGTTGAAACGACCAGGATTCGATATGTTTTTCTCGTTGTCGTTAGAGTCTGGGTATTTTCCTGTATAAACCATCAAGGAACTGTTCTGAAATGAGTACTGAACCTGGCAGTTATCGTACCATACGATCGCTTCTCCGGTTCTGCACCCGTCCAGGACATCTCGACTGGCGTTTATAACGCAGCTTCGACATGTCGTAGCGGTAGCGTCACCTCGGCAAAGTGCTCGAGCGTAGACGTGACCGGCACCGTCTCCGAGCGAGGAGCTGTAGAAGCCGGTACTCGAAGTATTGGAAGGTAATGACTCGAGAACCGATTTAATGTTGTTGTCGAATGTGCTGTTGGTTGTGTAGTTCATTGTGTTGTCTGAACAAAAACTGAAGAGTGGATTTGCAGAAACTTCCCTGGAGAACATCGTTAAAATCAACAAAAGAATAGATGAAAGTGAAAATTTTCTCATTCTGTTCTTTGAAATATTTTTTTTTAATTGCATTGCATTTTCTGCCATAAATCTGTAAATATGGAATTTGACTTATTTAGAAAAGTCAAATTGTTAATATGGTCAAAGCTGATGAACTGACAGACATGTGCTGAAGCTGGAAATTCAGGCAGCATTAAGAAGAAAACTCAGACTAAACCAGACAATCAACCATATAATTCTCATTTTCTTAGTTAAATGTCATTAATAACGACTGACTTGTACGTTATAATATTCAATACAAGATAGTATATTACTGGGTGAATTGAACGTAAGACTATATACACGGATACTATGGGTTAATTATACCATAATCTTAAGTTATGGTGTAGATTTGAAATTGATCCCAAACTCCAAAACTTTCCAATTGAGTCCTTCAAGTTTAAATATTATATCAATAAGGTACATTTATCAACCTAGTCGTCAACTTGATTCAACTAGTGAAGTATAAAAAAAATAGAACGAATCGTCAAAAAAATTAACAATTTAACAAATTCAGTCGGTTATGAAATTTGGTGTCTGATTTTTAAAAAAATATTTTTATTTAATTATTATTGATCCGACAAATTAAATAGATTTTGATATAATACTAATATTTAGATTCAATTAGACTGTTTTTTTTTATAGAATTTGAGTTCGAGAAGTTATATCTGCAGCGTGTATACGTTGTCAAATGATAAAAAAAAATCTGAATAAATATTAACTTGTAATCCCTCTAAATTATTATAAAAAGTTTATAGAATAATTTAAAATTTATGCCATAATTGGGAGACATGCAGTGAATTAACCCATATTTTATTTTTCATGGTAGGACGGCTCAAGCTTATCCGAGGTTGGTTTATTTAGGTTGGATTAAAATAGTTATAAAGAATAGCGAAGCAACGATATACAAACAATCATGGGAAATGACAAGTTGGTGGTCGAATTTCTAGTTGAGAAATTCCAGGACAACTGCGTTTGTTTACAAGAGAACAAAGATCATGGTAAGTATTAGCAGTTCTATGGGTGTTTTGCATAAATTAATAACGGTAAATTACAACACATCATTTTATCTGAAGATTTGAATCATTTTAAACTCGACTTAAATCTAAATATGATATTAAACGATTTTATAATTGTTTGCAGTTAACACAAGATATATATATATATATATATATATATAAGTTGACAGTAGAAATGAGTAGAAGAATATGTTTGCTATTATGCAATTCTCATATTGTTTTCTTAGACAATCAACATTTTTTTCATAAGGTCAACTTTATTGGGTTATTAATACACCCATGTATTATCTATGGTTGGAATATTAAATGAAAATACAAGAATTGATGATGTTATTTAACCGCTTTGATATGTTGAATGAATATGTTGTTATGTATAATAATCTTAATTAACATATAAGCCAGAATTTGCTAATGATTTATTAGTTTTGGAGTGTAATACACATCTGAATCAGTAAGAAACTTATATGAGTTAATACATATAATTATGATTATAAAAATAGTATAAATATCTAATTTTAAATATGAATTTATCTAAATTTGTTTATTTTTTATTAATTTAGGGTGATTATAAGGTGTTATAATTAGTTAGAGCTGGTTGGTAGTTAGTTTGTTATTAGAATTAGTTACTTTGTTACAAGCAGTTAGTTGCAATACTTGTATTATGTACCATTAATTAAATAATACATGATGGGTTATTTTTAGTGTGTAAAGTTTAACATAAGGTAATATTTGTTCTAAAGATTATCAACTATTTGATAATAAAAGCTTAAACTTCTGCAGTCTCTGATACTCGAACTTAAAACTTATAAGAATAACAATTATTCATTTAATTTAGTTTGTGATTATATATAATTTTTAAATAAATTTGTTTAAATTATAGTGAGTTTCAAATTAACAATCCGGGTTATTTAATTAGCGTACCATAAACTAAATAAATGGGAAAATTAATGTTTTTCCTAGTATATAGTCAATGCTTCAAATTCTACGTGAGCATTTAGCTGTTGGTTTTCACCAAAACTACAAGAAGCATATTTTTTAATAATTTATTGAGTAATTTAATTGAGTATGTAATAGTCTTGTAATTGCATTCCTGAAATTAAAAATTCTACCATTATTTTATAATATTGAATTCAATACACATATATGGATTGGATTGATAAAGTCAAATATTGGATGATGGGTGATGTGCTTTACAATAGTAACACATCTGACTAGAGATAGTTGATTCGAAAATTAGAAATCGCTTCATGAATTAATTAAGAGAAAATAACTTCAGTGACCGAAAATGCCTTATAATATATGATTTTAATCAACTTTTTTTGGATTTACGAAAATAACCAACAAATTCGCAACGCGAACTCTAATTTCGCAACACAGTTTCCAAATTCGCAACGCGATTCTCTAAATTCGCAACGCAAACTCCAAATTCGCGACGTGATTTCCGAATTCGCGACGCGATTTTCGAATTCGCGACGCTAATTCCGATTCGCGACGCGATTCTCCAGATTCTCGACGCGATTACCCAGATTAGCGACGCGATTCTCTAGATTTGTGACTCGAACTCCAAATTCGCGACACTAATTCCGAATTCACGCCCTTAACAACCGATTTAGACCCGGCATCCTTTTCTTTCCTATAAACTAGCATGAGCCAGAGTAATGCTTTTATGCTAAAAAATATATATAATTTTCCTCTTTAACCCAACTGTAAGTAAAAAGGGTTAAAATATAATTTTATTAATTTAAATTTAAAAATATTAAGAGAATTAATTTTGATGATTTTTATTTTATTATGTTTTGCTTTATCTCTTTTGGATAACTTCTGAAATCTCTGTACATAACAGGATTCGTGTTGCGAATTCGGAGTTCGCGTCGAGATTTTGGAGTTCGTGTCGCGAATCTGGGTAATCGCGTCGCGAATTCAGAATTAGCGTCGCGAATTCAAAATTAACGTCGCGAATTCAAAAATCGCGTTGCGAATTTGGAAATTATGTTGCGAAATTGGAGTTCGCGTTGCGAATTTGTTGGTTATTTTCGTAAATTCAAAAAAAATTAGTTAAAATCGTATATCATAAGGCATTTTCGGTCACTGAAATTATTTTTTCATTAATTGAAGATCGTTGAATAAAAAAAATTAAAGCCTCGTATTGGACTGTCCAAAATCCAGATAATTATTGGGCCCATTAATCTCATTCTTGGACCATTTAATTGACTACTACCCATGGGCCAAATTCTGCTTATAGAGATGTTAGTTGGGCGGATTTTACGGGACCTGTCTCACTTCGCACTTAATTAAACGAGGGTCACAACAGAAGAGCCTGCAGTGAAATGGGGTTTCAAAGGGGAACTCAATACGCTCGCCAAAACTGCTTCAGTTATCAGAGAAGTGCTACGCGATGCGGAAGATGAGCGCAACAGTAACAATCGCCAAGTAACTCTCTGGCTGAGGGAGCTTAAGGGTGTGCTTTACGACGTAGAAGACTTGTTGGACGATGTCTCGACTGATTCTCTTCAGCGAAAAATAGTATCTGGAGATGGCATGGCTAAAGTGGTACGCCTTTTCTTCTCGAAATATAACCAACTTGCTTATAGGTTGAAGATGGGTCATAGAGTTAAAGACCTTAGGGAGAGACTAGATGGTATTGCAGCTGATCGAGCCAAGTTCCAGCTCAGTTACCAGTTACCACCCTGTTGAGCCACCACTTGAAGTTAGGGAGAGGGAACGAACATATTCCTTTGTGCGTTCAGAAGATATAATTGGACGAAATGATGATAAGAGGAAAATTGTACAACTGATGCTTGAATCTGAACCGGAACAAAATGTTTCCCTTGTTCCCATAATTGGCATCGGAGGTTTAGGGATGACCACGTTGACTAAAATGGTGTTCAGCGATGGAGAGCTCAGGGAGCAGTTCGAGCTAAAAATGTGGGTTTGTGTCTCGGAGAAGTTCGAGTTAAAAGTCATTGTGGAAAACATCATTGAGTCTGCATCTAGAAGAAAGCCTGAAAGAGACCTTCAGCTGGAAACACTGCATCATCAACTTCATGTTTGCATTAATTGAAAGAATTACTTGCTGGTTCTGGATGATGTATGGAATGAAGATCTTAATCAATGGCGCAGATTATGGGATCTAATATCAGGGGGTGCGAGAGAAAGTTGGATTGTTATCACTGCACGCAGCGGATTGGTTGCAGATATCACAGGCACAGTTTCACCACATCATCTTCGAGGACTATCAAAAAGAGAGTTTTGGTCTCTGTTGAAGCAAACGGCACTCAAAGAAGCAAGTCGAGAATCTAATAATCCACGAATAGAGGCAATAGGCATGGAAATCGTAGACAAGTGTAAAGGGGTCCCTCTTGCCTTAAGGGCAATAGGAAAGATAATATATAATAGAACAGAAGCAGAATGGGTGAGGGTGAAGAACAATGTGAGTAAATACCTTACTCATGAAGAAAATGGTATTTTACCCATACTAAAATTGAGTTATGATCATCTTCCACTGCATTTGAGACAATGTTTTGCTTACTGCTCTTTAATTCCAAAGGATACTAATTTTCTAGTGTCGAAATTGATCAAAGCTTGGATGGCCTTAGGGTTATCCAGCCCCTCAATGGAGACGAGGATCTTAAAGATGTTGGCAAGGAGTACTTCAAGGATCTGATTTGGAGATCATTTCTTGAATGTTCATCACTGGAATATGCAGGAGAAAGTGAGTTTCCGATCAGAATGCATGATCTTGCCTGCTCTGTTGCCAGAGAATCATCGGTTCAGAAGCAGAAAATGTAAATGAAAAAACGTGTCATGTGTCATTCAAAGATGAATTAGATTCCTCTTGGGAAATTCCAAACACCTTGCTTAAAGCAGAAAGAGTGAGGTCAACTATTCAGCCAAGAAGGCGTTGAGACTTGAATCTATCAACTTTGAGTGCAATCATGTCTAGTTTTAAGTATCTGCGCATGCTGGATATGAGTTACTCAGAATTTGGAATGTTACCGCACTCTATTGGAAAACTGAAGCTTCTAAAGGCTCTTTATCTTTATGGAAATAGTAAGATGACAAAGCTGCCTAGTTCATTGTCGAGGCTTCAAAGTTTGAAAACATTGGATCTCCGTTGGTACAGCGATCTTATAAATTTGGCGAGCAAAACAAGCAGATTAGTCAGCCTCAAGCATCTTCAAGTTGATGGTTGTGATAAATTGGCTTACATGCCATGTGGACTGGGGAAACTAACTTGTCTGCAAGGGTTAGGGATGTTTGTTCTAGGAAAAACCACAGATAAGATATTGGTCGATTAAGTGAGTTAAATGTACTCAACAAACTTAAAGGCAAGCTGAGAATTTCGGGTTTAGAAAATGCTGTTGAAGAACGGGGATCTACTTACTTGAAGGAAAAATTGAACTTGAAATCCTTAGAATTGGAATGGAAGATCAGGGAAGGAGATGATGTGTTTGATAATGTAAATGAGGAAATGGTTTTTGAATGCCTTGAGCCACACGCAAATCTGGAGAAGCTTGTGGTGAGGGGTTACCTAGGAACCAAGCTAAGCTGGTTGTCATCCGTGTTCAGTTTAACTGAACTAATATTATTTGATTGTCATAAATGCAAGCATTTGCCACCATTGCATGTATTATCTTCCCTCAAAGCTATTAGGCTTTCGAAATTATAAGCTTTGGAGAATGTGTCCGAGACTGAAATGCAAAAGGATTTGTTTTCCGGAAAATTAACATCTTTTTCATCCTTGGAACGACTACGGATAAATGATTTCCCAAATCTTAAAGGATGGTGGAAAGGTGATGTTGGTGAATCTTCAAATTCACACTTGCCTTACTGTCCTAGACTTTCATAATTAATCATCCATGATTGTCCTAATCTAACCTCTATGCTGTTGTTTCCTTCGGTCGAAGAGTTAAGGTTAATGAAAACCAGCTGGAAACCGCTCCAAGAGACAATGAAGTTGAAGATGTTGACGAAAACGGGTAAAGAAAACAAAAGAACACGAGAATTTTACGAGGTTCAGCAATGTGCTTACGTCCTCGGTGCTTAGGCGGCGCTAGAAGTTTTATTCAATGATATTTTAGGTCTAGGTTACATCTCTATTTATAATAGAAAATCCTGGTACATAATTACAAAATCAACCCTATACCGTACCGCAGGGGCTGCGCCCCCGCACCCTCAACCCACATGATTCGTAACCCCACAATGAGACTTTCTTTGTAAGGGCAGTTGATGTTCGCTTCGCTCACTCCGCTCCATTTCCTATCCTCTTTACTGGTATATTTATGAGCCATACCTAACAAATCTCCACCTTGGCGAATATCCTGCCCCTTGGAAACTTCAATGTGGGTTGGGTTACCTTGCTTCTTTAACAACTAGAAACATTCAACAAGTCCAAGCAATACTTGAACTTGTCTGTCGTAACTGGCTTGGTGAACATATCAGCGGCATTCTCATCAGTATGTACCTTCTGAAACAAAACCTCTCCAGATGCAACCAACTCTCTGATCTTGTGGAACCTTACATCAATATGTTTAGTTCTAGCACGATACACCTGATTCTTAGCCAAGTGAATAGCACTTTGATTATCACAAAGCAACTGAACTCCACCTTGTTGAACACCCAACTCCTTCACTAAACCAGTAAGCCATAAAGCTTCTTTTGCAGCTTTAGCCGCTGCCATGTACTCAGCTTCAGTTGTAGATAGAGCCACAACAGATTGAACAGTAGACTTCCAACAAATAGGCCCTCCACCAAGAGTAAAGACATACCCTGTCGTAGATCTTCTATTATCCAAGTCACCTGCATAGTCTGAATCCACATATCCTACAACCAAAGGATTATCCCGCTGACTCCCAAAAACAATTCCATGTCCCACAGTACCCTTTAAGTACCGAAAGATCCACTTGACTGCTTCCCAATGTTGCTTACCAGGTTTAGACATGTACTTACAAACTTGAATAACAACATGAGCTAAATCAGGACGAGTACATACCATCGCATACATCAAGCAGCCAACAGCATTAGAATACGGAACCTTTGCCATATCTTCAGCTTCCTTATCTGTCTCAGGGCACTGTTCTGATGAGAGCTTAAAGTGATTCGCCAATGGAGTGCTAACTGGTTTCGCGCTGCTCATCGCAAACCTTTCTAGCATTTTCTCAACATAACCCCGTTGAGATAGCCGCAGTTTCCTTGAGTCTCTGTCCCTGCAAATTTCCATTCCAAGAATTTTCTTTGCATCACCTAAATCTTTCATATCAAATTCCTGACTCAATAAAGTTTTCAAACCGATAACATCATCCATGTTCTTCGTAGCAATCAACATATCATCAACATACAGTAATAGAAAAATAAAAGAACCATCATCAAGGCTCTTAACATAGACACAACAATCATACTCACATCGGTTGTAGCCAATCTTGATCATATAGGAGTCAAACCGTTTATACCACTGTCTCGGAGACTGTTTAAACCCATACAAAGATTTCTTCAATCTGCAAACTAAATGCTCGTTTCCAGGTTGAGTGAAACCTTCAGGTTGCCGCATGTAGATCTGCTCCTCTAAATCACCATGCAAAAAAGCAGTTTTAACATCCATCTGCTCTAAATGCAAATCCCAACTAGCCACCAATTCAAGTACTGCTCGGATTGAAGTGTGCCTGACCACAGGAGAAAAGATTTCATCATAATCAACTCCTTTCTACTGTGAAAACCCTTCGCTACCAAACGAGCCTTGAACTTCTACCCCTCTTTTTCTGTTACTGTTGGTTTCTTCTTATACACCCATTTGCAACCAATCAGCTTCTTACCCTCAGGAAGGGGAACTAACTCCCATGTGCAATTGTGATTCAAAGACTCCATCTCCTCAACCATGGCTGCCATCCACTTGTCGTTTTCCTGACTAGTAACGGCATCATGAAAAGTAACAGGATCATCACTGCTAACAATAAGTGCAAAAGATACCAAGTCTTCAAAACCCAATCTGTTCGGAGGCTTTATATTCGTCCGTCTCACCCTGTCTCTGGCGAGACTATAATCCTGCAAATCATCCGTAGTGGAACCACCAGAAGTCGGTTGAGAAGTTTCTGGTTTCTCAACTGGAAACTGCTCGAAATCCACCACTGTCGTGTCTTGCTTCTGCTGCAACATGGACTGTTCATCAAAAACGACATCTCTACTAATCACAACTTTCTTCGCAACTGGATCCCAGAACTTGAATCCTTTGACACCTTTCTTGTAACCCAAAAAAATGCACTCCTTCGATTTTGCATCAAGTTTGGATCTCTCATCAGCAAGTACATGCACATAAGCAAGACAACCAAAAATCCGTAAGTTATCAAAACTAACATCATGACCAGTCCATACCTCTTCTGCAACTTTCCCAGCCAGCGATGCCCTTGGCGATCTGTTGATAAGGTAACACGCCATGTTAACAGCCTCAGCCCAGAAGTGTTTGGGAAGCCCCGCATTCAACCGCAAACATCTGGCTCTTTCATTCAACGACCTGTTCATTCGTTCCGTAACACCATTCTGTTGTGGTGTCTTGTGCACTGTAAAATGCCTCTGAATCCCATGCTCCTTACAGAATTGTAGGAACTGTGAATATGTGTACTCCGTACCATTGTCAGACCGCAAACACTTGATTTTTCGTCCTGTTTGGTTTTCTACCTCAGCTTTCCACAGCTTGAACTTCTCAAAAACTTCAGGTTTCTGTTTCAAAAAATACACCCAAACTTTCCGTGAAAAATCATCAATAAAAGTAACATAGTACCTAGATCCACCCAAAGACGATATCGTGGAAGGCCCCCATACATCAGAATGCACATAATCAAGAATCCCTTGAGTTGTGTGATTCGCAGTCTTAAAACGGACTTTAGTCTGTTTACCAAGAACACAATACTTGCAAAAATCGAGCTTACAACTTTTGACACCATGCAACAAGTTTCTCTTGTGTAATTCTGCCATACCACGTTCACTAAGATGAGCAATGCGCATATGCCACAATTTTGTCGTATCATCACAGGACTCAACAGAGTGAACTCCACCTGCAACGGTACTCCCTAACAATCTGTAGATATTCCCTGCAGTCATCTTGCCTTTCATCACAGTCAATGCTCCTTTAACAATCCGAATGGTTTCCCTATCCTCGTCAGCCTTAGGGATAAAACCATTCTTGTGCAAAATGCCCAAGGAAATCAAATTCTTCTTTAAGTCTGGGATATGTCGAACACCACTCAACGTCCGAACGGAGCCATCGTGCATCTTAATTCTGACATCACCAATACCAACAATATTGCAACATCGATCATCACCCAAATAAACCGAACCAGAATTAACCGGCTTGTATGTCGAAAACCATTCCCTATTTGGCGTGATGTGATAAGAACATCCAGAATCAAGAATCCAAACATCTGTCAATTGTGTCGTTGAAATAGAAAGCATATCACCCTCACTGCAATCAAAATTATCATCCTCGACCACGTTCACAGACTTGGATGAGCCATCACGCTTCTCATCATTCTGCTTTTTCAACTTCGGACAGTCTCGCTTCATATGACCCGCCTCCTTGCACTTGTAACAGTGAATCGTCTTCTTATCCCTGGATTTGGATCTGGAATTCCGCTTCCCGGACCCTGCCTTCTCTGGCTTCCGTCCACGATCTCGATTACCCTTGACATATAAGCTATCGGCTTGAGAGCTTTCCCCTGCATTCTGCTTCCGCTGGTTGTGAGCCAACAAGGCTGCAGTAATCTCCTCAACGTTGATAGTCTCTTTCCCATATGTAAGAGTAGTCACCATGTGTTCATAAGAGGGAGGCAACGAACACAACAGAATCATCGCTCTGTCTTCATCCTCAATTTTCACATCAAGCCGAGCCATATCAGAAACGATTTGATTGAAGACATTCACGTGTTGCGCCAAATCGTGATCGTCCTGCATCTTCAGCCCATACAGTCGCTGCTTCAGATACAGTTTTGTTGTTAAGGATTTGGACATAAACTGACTTTCCAACTTCCTCCAAATTTCGTCTGGAGACGATAGATGCATGACGTGATACATGCCTCGTCCGCCAAGCATAATCGTATGGTTCCTGCCGCTCGCTGCTGCAATTCTTCCCAATCTTCCTCATCTATCGATGCCGGCTTTGTAGGTCGCAAAGCCTTCGAGATCCCTTGCTGCGCCAATAGATCCTTCACCCTCGTTTGCCATAATCCGAAGTTACCCTGACCATCGAATTTCGCGACTTCGAATTTTGCTCCTGACATCTGATACCAATTGTTGACGAAAACGGGTAAAGAAAACAAAAGAACACGAGAATTTTACGAGGTTCGGCAATGTGCTTACGTCCTCGGTGCCTAGGCGGCGCTAGAAGTTTTATTCAATGATATTTTAGGTCTAGGTTACATCTCTATTTATAATAGAAAACCCTAGTACATAATTACAAAATCAACCCTGTACCGTACCGCGAGGGCTACGCCCCCGCACCCCCAACCCACATAATTCGTAACCCCACAACGAGACTTTCTTTGTAAGGACAGTTGATGTTCGCTTCACTCACTCCGCTCCATCTCCTGTCCTCTTTACTGGTATATTTATGAGTCATACCTAACAGAAGATGACAACACCAGAAGAACCATTGTCATCTTCTTCTACTCTGCGTCCTTTCTCCAAATTGGTCAATTTGAACATACAGGAGATTGAAGATCTAGATTCTCTACCAGAGAAAGCTAACTTCTCTTCAGCAATTATGGATATGGAGATGCATCAACTTGACATCAATGCCACAGGGGATGCATCACCTTATTTCTTTGACGACATTGGAAATTAGTGATTGTCCCCAATTATCTCAAAGTTGCCAAAGGGATACTGGTCTCCACTGGCCTAATATTGCTCACATTCAAAACATTCAGATTTATTAAACAAAGATTCAATCGAGGAAGCTATGAGGAAGGTTGCATGGTTTTGCTTTGAAATACATGGAGGCATTCTCGACGGTTCGATTGTTGGAACCTGTTTCGGTTTCGAATGGTCATGCTCTATGTGGTTTTGGTTTGTTCTAGCTTAGCACCTGCTGGAACCTGTTCCAAATTGTCATGCTTGTTTTGTTAGTCTTTCATTTGCTTTGTTCAGCTGATGCTTTTTGTGCTTGTTTCGTGTGCTGTCATGACCCATTTATGCTTTGTATATTGAACTTTTTCTGTATTGTGATGCCTGTTAAACCAGACAATTGCAGAAATTAGAGATAGAAATTTTCATCAAGTTGGACAAGAAGTCTGGAAACTTTACCAAAATTATCGAAAGATATGTTAATTGAAATGAAGAAGTGTCATATACTATGTGCATTGCATGGAATGCCTAATCATTTGAGGAATTCTCTGTTGCTTTTAAGCAATGGGTATATGGCCAAGTGTTTTGGGTAGCTTATGAAATATTCAATGATGGGAATCATCACACGATGTATGATTAAAACTTGTTTGCGGTTGTAGTTGCAGCCCACATAGGTATGATTATTTCTTGAGTATGCAACAACTTGTAGCTCGTAATCATTGGTGGTGTTAATTAGAGATAAGGTTTACCATATAACTATCAAACTATATATTATTTAGATTACCAAATCTTAGTGGAAGCTGCAATCATTCTTCTCCCCCTTTATCTCCAACTTCCGTCACGTAACATTAACGAAAATATAAAGCCAAAAAATAGATATTTTATATCAACAAATATAGACGTAAACACGTACGGATCTTAAATTTATTAAACAATCTCAAAGGTAAAAGACATAGTTATTCTCTTCAAAGATTTCGAAATTTGAATAGGTACAACTGTAAAGTGTGTGCATTGTCAATAACTAAGAAAGATTATAAACATATATTAAATCACATACTATTAAAAAAAACATGTTCAAATCTTAGAGTACATATTATCAGACACATTCAATTGTTTTGAAATGTTGAACACGTTTAACCATTTTAAAATGTTAGACTATTATTTGAACATTTAATTTATCACAAAACCTATATTTATTACGTTGCCGATGATAATCATTTCTATTACATACATTTTTTATGTTACAATTATATGTAATACATCCATGTGACTATAATCGGAATTAATCAATACAATTCATAAATAATACTATCAATAATATATTCGTATAATTATAACCAGAATTAAATATTACAAAGCACATGCAAACAAAATGGCAATTAAAATAACTTTGAAGAAGACTCACATGAGTTTATTTCAAGAGATATGTCACTTGGAATAAAAGTATACAATTGTTTGATCGAGTCGAGTCCAATTTTTTTGAGTTTTTGTTTAAATTTAATTATAAATATTTATAATATTATGATATTATTTTATTTCAATTTAAATATTTTTTATAACCATATACAATACATATATATTTTTTCATATTTTTTCATATGTGATATTTATATATATATCATACGGAGTCGAGACAGTCGACTCAAACTTGAAAATCAATCTATTAATTACTAAAAATTTTGAGTTATTTCAGTTACTATTTAAGTTGTATTTTACAGCTCGATTTGAATTTGAAATTTTTTCGCCAAGTCAAATTTATGAAATTACAACTTGAAGTTAATTTGAATCGAGTTAAGTCGGAAAAGTTATTTTTTAATCGAATTGAGCTTTGTTGGCCCCTAATTTCAATCATAACTGTTAAATTAATTGTATATAAACAATTGGTTCTTAGTTCGATATTATTCAATCATATAAAATCATGAAAGTAAACATGTTTAAATATCAAATATCTTTCAATAGAAATTGTAATGTAAAGGGTATAAGCACTCATCACATACCGAACTCCACATGATCATCTCCCCACTACGAATATTCACTTAGTACTGTAAATAAACTTAAAATATTTGCAAAACATTTTATTATAAAAATATTTATATCAGACAGAGAAAATAAAGCACCTGATATTAAAAACTTGTCCCCCCCCCCTTTCTGCATGCTGGAAATGAATTACATCTTCTTAATCCCAAAATCTAACAAAAAGTGAAACAAATCTCTCCCTTGCGAGCTTCAGGCAACTCTCCAACGTTGTTACAAAAATCAGTTCATTTTCCAACAGATGTCAGTTAAAGCTCTGTCATTTTAAGAAACAAAAAAGTTGTATTTGTTCTGTCGTAAGTTTTGTGTTCTTCGTTAAAAAGATTGGTGATTCATATTCGTTTTGCTAACTCGTGTTTTTGTGCTAGAAATCTCTTTATTTTATGTTCCAATCAGGATCTAATTGAGTCCCCATTGGTGACGCTGTATAGAGTATATTTTCCATTGTTTGTTCTATTAATATCTCCTTCATTTCCCGAGAAAATGACGGAAAATCCAAAGTTGGTAAGCATAATATTTCAGGGGCTTCGCTTTTCTTCAAATATTTCACTTTCTTTCTTCTTTCTTGTAACTGTTTAATTGGTTTTTATTAATTTCTCAAAATTTTGAATTTGTTCCTGAAATTCGGTGATAGGATTCGGAAGAGAATTCAGTTTCGGATCATATAAATGCAGATAAACCAGATAGCGTCGTTATCGACATGGAAACTTTTATTCATGGAGTATCCAATAAAGAGAATAATCCAAACTCAAGATTCCCAGTAAGTTCCCTTTTCTTGGAAAGTTTTCGTTTAATTTTCAATCATTTTCTTGTTAATTGGAAAAAATATTCTTTTTTTACAGAGAAGCCTTTCTCGCAAAGGGTCACTTCGAGGTGATAAGAAGAATGTTAGTAGTTCCAATTCTACTTCCATTGCCAGTGATCATAGAGATTCTTTTGTTTGCAGCTCCTCCTCTCCTGGAGGTACAGACCTTTTTCCCTTAGAAATTCATATTAATTGCTATGCTCCATTGCACCGTCATTTGCTCGTTATTGGAACTTTCCCCAGGAAAGATTTTACCGGAAAAAGAGGAAACAGAACAGTTTGATTTTCTTGACCCATATCATATTGCAGACAATGGATAGAATAAATTAAGATTTGGAACATATTTTCTGGTTTTCCATATTGTAGATTTTACTAGTTTAATTTCCATCACCAACCTGGACCAGCCTAAGTCTCCACAGTTTAGTAACCACCGATGGGGTCGTCGCACCACTTTGCTACACATCTGGATAGATTAATATAATAATAGTAAGTGATCAATCTTGACAACACAAACTGTTAAAATTAACACCTAGGCCAAGGAAACGATCTTATTGATAAAAAATTAATATTTGAAAGCTCAATTAGAATGATGATAAATTTAACGACTAATTTAGAATATATGCCATAGCTTGAGGATGTCTAGTGGAATCAATCTTAATTTAACTTGCATTAAACAAAGAAGAGGTCCTGCAGCAGTATAGCTGTTAATTTGCATACTGATATTACAGGGTTACCGGAAAAGCTCACTGCAGTGATCAAGGAGTCCGGCGGTCATCAGAGCAACCCACAAACTCATCGTCAGATCACCTTTACATCGAGAAATAGTATCAAGCGATCTCCTCCACCATGGCTACTAGAACCCAATAGGATTCTCCTCTTCTTTGCCACATTGCAAGTTTTTAAGCTATTATGACAAGTTTTTAATTAAGCTATTATTATGTATTCATTGTGAAATTCTCTCTTTTGTCACGACAGGTCCAGCATGGGTACAATTCTGCTGATATACTTCACATTGTCAATTAGTGGAACCAATCCGGATGAGAATGTTTTAGATTAGTTGTTGTCGTTAAAGTGATCCATTATATTTTCTCTCGTTGTTATGGATCGTATACAATAATCAACAGTGACATTTACAATTGTTTTGGGTTTTGTGGAACAAGGATAAACTAGCCCACCAATTTGGCCCAAAATAATAGTGAAAACCTAAGTAAGTGTTTAGGAGCCCCACTTATAATTTAAGTATTTTATTATCCACTGATGTTTGATCAATTAGACTATAAAATCTTAAGACTATGAGAACCTTCAGCCCCTTTGATCATTAATATTTATTGAATAATGCCAGCAAACATGCACAAACTTCTTAACTATCAAACAAGTCTTACATCTTGAAACTATATCATAAGCAAAATGTTTAATCTTACACAATCATTTGCATCCAACCAAAGTCCTCCCTTTAAGAAAAATATACAAATATTAAAATTTTATTCCGTAATAATACATCATATTTAATTAAAATCATTTTTCCCGTTTAAAAGACGTCAAAACTTATTTTACTCTTTGAGATATACTTTAGGTTTAGAAAAACTTGTTTTACTCTTTAGTACCATTGGATATTGATTAGTGGAGAGGGGTCGCAAGTGGTGAAATAAGCTTTAAAGGTAACTAAGGATGTGAGTCATCAAACAATTAATGGCTTACAACATCAACGAGATATATTATTTTCAGAGGAGGAAGTTCATATCATCATACATAACATTTATGTTCTTGTTAATAAAGGACCTGTTGCTCTTTGAGGGAAAAGTTGGACCCGGCAATATAGCATCTTTGTTACGTTGGACTGAACTGCTCTAAGATATATGATCATCAAAAATTATTTTTGATTTGAGTTACTAAGAATAGATTAGCTTTCATGATAGATTATTGGAAAACGATAAAAAAAAAATCAACTATCGAAAGATGTAAGATTAAAAAATGTATATGAGACTTTAAAAATTAATAAAGAGAAAAAAGAAGAAGAAAATGACATAAATAATACATTCCTTGCGTTGATATATTTTATACAAGAAACCTTGGAAGCCCTACTTTATGACCATAGTTTTGAACATCTTCTCGTACTTGTTCTCTATATTCTTTAAAGCTAAACCTTCTATAAACCGAGGGCTTGCTGCAACTCTCTATCACAGTCTCACACGATGGGCAAAGGAAATATGCAGCTGAGAACCTTTCTTTGGTTGGATTAGTCACCACGCAATGTTGCACACTTTTATAACGATCATTGCTCCATGCCTGCACAATAAATAACCAAATATTTAGCACGAAAAGCTTCCACAGATCACTGTTGCAATGGCAAATGATTTGAAATTACCTGAAATAAATCTCCAATGTTGATGAATAAAGCTTCGGGATTAGGCTTAACTGCAATCCACTTGCCATCTTTCATCAATTGCAATCCTCCGATTTGGTCTTGGTGCAACACGGTGAGGAAATCGCTGTCTGTGTGCGGCATTAGACCGAACAACTGGACGGGGCACGGTGGGTATCGGTTCAGTCGGAGATAGCAAGTGCTCAACAATGAATTCTCGTGGAAGAAAGTGGAGTTATGACCTGATTTCTCTGCCAAAATTTGGGCTAACTTCTGAGCAAGACTAGCAACTTTTGTGGCAAACAGTTCCACCGATGAGCTGGTTAAGGTCGAAGATTACGAATAGTTTAGATATTATAATTTGTATCAAGAAATGAAATGAGTAATAGTTTGCTACAGAATGAGATAAAAAATAGAATCTCCCAAGTATGAGGAGGTGGATCCAAATTACAATCCAGTAGTTAGTAACAATAATATAAATCATGCATTAAGAGAATAGAACCCTTTAACGGGCAAAGTTCAATGTGAATGTCTGTTATAATATTTCAAAAATTTAGATTAAAACACTCTAATTAATGCTGCATCAATGTCGAAATCTAGACAAGACTATGGATTTGATCCTTGTGTTGTCCCATCGTTTTACAATATTCAATAACAAAACTATAGCTAAGCTATGCCGACATGCAATCTCAGCAGATGCTCATTGTCTCAACTCTAAACAAGACGTGGAACAGGTTGATTCTGTAAACTGTCTAGCAATGAAGATTAAGGACGGTTTTGTAAGTACCTGAAAGTGGTATTTAAAGCGCCAAAGCTCGAGATATCGGTCATGGGAATGTGGAAAGCTTCTGACCATGATAATTGCCTTAACGAAGTAGCTGTTGGTGTTCCCCAACGGTAACTACCAGCGGAGAAATTCATGAACTTGTCTTCCCTGCACTTGTTGTAAAAAGGTTGCTTGAACACTTTCACTTGCTCTTCCCTCATCTTATCCAATATGTCCCTTGAGATCCCATGGTTAATCACTTGGAAAAAACCCCATTCATTTGCAGCCCTAGCTATCTCCTCCTTGCAACTCTCCTTCTCGACCTCGTCTTCGAGACCTAACTGGCTTAGATCGATCAACGGAAGCTCACGTTCCTCGACCGCAGTGTGACGGTCGAGGTTATTTGGAGATGTTTCGATCTTCGACAATTCTTCTTCAGCGTAAAGGGTCTTGTAGGTTTCATGGAATGGTGGGTCCGAATCCATCATCCCTAGGGGCTGATCTCAAAGCAAAGATTGAAAAAGAGAGAATAAAGGTTAACAATGGCAAAGTACTCTACGAATATAAAAGAGACAAAGAAGGATTTGAGTTGAGAGAATATACAAGTTTCTTTGTTAAAACTTGGAGGCATCGACAATTATTGTACACATACATTTATTATGTTTATCATCTTTCCACATTCTTCTTCCACTTTCATTTTTTATTTTATTATTTTCTCTCACTAATCCAATTTTCCAATGAAATCATATGTTTTTGAATTCTATACCCATTATCTTATGTTAATTATCAAACACATATAATGACCATGAAAAGGTAATTTTTTTCGGCAAACAAAATTTTTATTAAAATGAATTTATGAATTTACTTAGTGTAATGCCTCATTAAAAATCCTCCTAAACCTAACGAGAGAAAACAATATAAAACACCATGACATGACATGAACACAACGAAGTGAACAAAGACTAAAGGACACAAACAAAAAATTTGATATAACAGTCAACCAACTGAAAAACACACTGCACCAAACCAGACAGACAACATATGTCACATACATGCACAAAATTTAAACAAAGCAAAACAAACAACTAGAGCAGGTCAAAAATAAACAAAACCACCGAAAGCAACACCCTTAAACTATGAACTTTACACCCAGAGCAACAAACGCCATAACCGAGAAGTAGTCGTATAAGCGACTCACCTACCACCAATCGCACGCTTGAACAAGGAAAGAGCAAGTAACTATCAATCACCGCCAAGCTTTAAACGATTCAGACCTAACCAAACCTTAGAAAGCCAGCCAATCCACCAGTGATGACCAATTTGAGGACAATGAACTGAATTGGACATAATTCAAAACGTTTAATCTGACATCAATCTCCCTAAACATGAACCACAAAGAGGCTGGGCAAGAGAAGAGGTTACTCATCCAAAACAAAGCAACTTTAGAGGGAGAGTCCACCACCAAGCACTTCATCTCCCCAAAACTGGCTTCTTCGACAATAGACAACACTAATTTTTTTTCAAGGACATCGAAACCACCAACAACATTGGTCAATCCCAGGAAAGATAAAACTGCTCTTATTGCACCAAACGGGGATTTGATAACCCCACCACGACCACTCAATTCGACCTTAACTACACTAGACACTATGAAAGCCCAAACGTCTCCTCCTTAGGGATGTATGCAAAAAGAAGAGACAGTAGGAGGAACAATGCAGAAACTCAGATTTGTCCACCACGCCTCCTCGCTAATGAGAAGCTTACCTTTGATCGTCTTCAATAAAATCAAGGCACGAATCTTTGTAAAAAAACAATAAATCCTCCACAAAGTTACGTTTTCCTTCAAACACGTACTCATTACGCCCTAATCAAATACTCTACAACACACCCACATAGTCTACCAATCATAAAAGCTTATGAATTGGTGGAACATCAATACTTTATATGATGAATAAATTATAGAACATCGGTGGTTTAAACTCGTATGTTTATCCATAATTTAATTAAACTTTAAATTTAACAATTAAACTGTGATAGGGTGTAAAGCAATAATAAATGGCAATGTTCAATGACAGCTAAAAGAAGAGACCATGCAAAACGCATTCAATGTGTGGGACCTTATTCCATGTCGGCCTGCATCTCCAACCACACCTTCATATTCATATAACGATAATTAAGACTTATTTAAGAATATATATGAGATTTTATATTAGTAATATAAATTTAAGAAATTATATTGTAAATTTAAAGATACAAAATTATAAAATATGTAAAAAATTTAAATTTTTTAAGATGTAATAATATTTGGGTCACACTTACATCACATGGATTTGCAATAGGGTAAAGGCACAAGTTCTGGTATAGAAGAAAAAGGAAAGAAAGACTAGATGATGTAATACCACTTTTTGATTAATATGAAAGAGTAATTAAGTTTCCGTTATCATTAAATTTCTTCACACTGCAGTCCTTTCAACTAAACAGTGATGAATACGATGATAAAATCTGAATCATTAATTTTGATTTAAATAAAGTTTCTCATTTGATGTTACCAGATTCACTACGGTTAATGTCATCTCCCTCCACTGTCTTCAAGCTCAGCCCCTTACCGAGAAGAAATCAACCACACTATTATGTGTATTAATTTTAGTGATGTGTACATATTTAATTTGTTACTAACAACAACTTTATCTTATTAGTTATTATCGATTCACTATCCTTAATTTAGGTGAAGAGTTGTGGTCGATGAGGATAACTGTTGATCACAGTTTTTATACTAAAAAGAACTGATCATGGAGAATGAAAAAGATGATGTAGAGGTTGTGAGGGTTCTAGCCCCTTTTTCAATCTTAATTGGGTATTTATAGTGGTTTTGTCAGTCGTAGGGTCATTATGACTATTTGTAGACTAACGAGTTTGGTGATTTGTTAGTCAAATTTTGAATTTCATTCTGACATATCACGTTGGTTTGTCAGAGATTTTATCTATACATTGTGGTCTTATCTATCTGAAGACCTTGACTGAAGGAATTAACGATTTGAACGTGTTCGATTGACAGTAGTGATTAAGAAGTTTCCGGAGTCTCATCTTTGAAGATATAACAATACTCTTCTCAGATTCTCTATCAATAATTTATGCTTCGCACATTTTAATTGCATTTAGACGTAGGTTCAATTATACATTAAAAAATACCCTTACGTACATCGAACATAATTGACCCTTAGTTATTAGTATAATGATGAACAATCATGTCGTTAATTAACACACGAATCTAAACCATAGGCTACCTCTAACTTTGGAAAAAATATTCGTATAGTGGACAATCTCTTACCTGGTTGTTAATATTTGCCATGACATTATGAGTCTCCACCATGTTATTGAATACGTTCTGATCTGTACCAACATAAAAAGGGAAATTAGAAGATGAAATTTAAGTCACAGTTGCTCGTAAATGTCTACGTCTATCCATAGTTTATACGTTATCATACTATATATATCATATAAGCATATATATGCGTATGTAACTTTACATACAAACAGAAGTATAGATAGTTAAGTCTTTGAAAACAACTGTACTTACATGGAAAACAATGCTTGGAACTTGATATATCTCAAAGATGATATACCCATATATATACAACTGGAAAGGATTGAAGGAGAGCAAGGGAATGGTTTATTTGTGTAGTCGAGGAGGATTGAAGGACAGATATTTTTATAGGAAGCCATCAATCATTATAATTATTGACGTAAATTATTAGGAAAAGAGAAACAGTGACGGATTGGGAGTTTATGCTTTTAGAGAAGAACACGCGGCTTGTGTGTTTATCAGAGAAAAATATTGCAAATGGCCGCACTGTCATGTTTTTTCAAACACCATAAGTGTTTGAAGGAAAGGGGATAAGAGGGGAGACTTGGAAGAACGAGAACCAAATGAATTTTTTTGTGGAAGGAAAAATGGGTACTGGCCAATGGCCATGCGTATATGTTGAAAGATACTTGGCTGAATCTGCACCAGTTGAAGGAGCACTTTAATCAAACTCTTGTTAAAAATCTCAGAATACAACGCACATGTCCAATACTTAAAATCTCCATGTCGGTACTTACGTATACACAAAGCAGATGAACATTTCCTTATGCGTCTGATTGTTTCCTGAGAAAAATTTTAGGGTCAAGGGCTTCCATGTGCAATGCTTTATTATAAAACGCCATTAGAATCATCAAAACAAGATATATAATTCCAGAGAGGGAATGAAAATTCGGCTAAAGGAGTTAGAGTTAGTTGGAGGAGTATAAATACAATGGGTTAAAAAAAAAGGTAGAAATCGATTGTAATGGAAAAACTTACAAATAATCTAACTCTTTAGAGTAGTTTGAGTAATATTTTAACTTGAAACTAAAAATATTATTTTCTCTATAATAAATCATATAAATTGTATAACTATTCTAATTGTAACCCAAAAAGTTACTCATTGCAATATAACATTCTCGGTTGTTATCGAAACTTTTATTAATTATATAACATTTTAGGTTAAAACACGTTGCAAATTAACTTTAGATTAGGCTGCTGCATGGCAGAGCCACTCTTAGTTGAAAGAAGATTTGTTACTCAAAATGTGAAGGAGGACTCAAGAGTTAAATATATATTAGTGTGGAATAAAGCTTGTATGTTGTAGTGCTCATGGTTGATTTTTACTCCTTGGGATTTATTTTGAATGGTTTGGATTGAGAAGTAATGATATAGTATTTAGTAAGTATAAGTGAAGAACGAGCATAATTAAACTGGAACACTAGGGCGACATATAATTCTGAAGAGATTATCAAGGAAGAGCAATTTAATAATTTGAATTGTCAGATTGATCCTTTACGACAACGGACCGAACATGGAAGCTTCCTGGAGAGAGCGGTTGCATGGTGTAGAAGATACCAAAATATTTAGGGTAATTTTAAATTGAGTGGATGCTCAGTTTTCATGGACACCCTGAAGTTGTGTTGCTAAGAAGATACCAAAGGTTGCAATTAGAGCAACATGGTCTGCTGGGTTGGTCGCCCCTGGTAATATGTATCATCGCTCATGTTTTTCTCATAGAATAAATGAGATTGGCCCCCACTTTACTGTTAATTATACATGCACCCTCCTTCCATTTTTAATTCAGGTGTGCCACGATATGAATTTATGCATATATTATATATAAGCCTCGAAACTTCAAGAAAAATTTAAGCTTAGCATTTAAGAGCGTAGGATTACAATTTTGTATTTTATTCACCACGTATATATATATATATTTCGAATCTATTTAAAAAATAATAATAATACTTTATTTTATCATTGAAACCGTTCAATAAATTCATTAATATTACAAATCTATAAATATAATCAAAAGTAAATTTTTTATATGTGATTGATGAATTTATTTAGACGAGTAACAAATGTTTTCAATTTTATATTTGGAGTAAATTGAATAAATTAGTAATGAGATTTATATTTTACATTTTTCTATATTATCTCTTTTCCAAACTCAAATTTATAATTTTGAGTAGTTGCTATTAGACAACTAATCAATATTTTTGCGTTTATATTTGGTAAACAACTCATGTTATAAATAATATACATTTGAAAACTAAAGTTATTATGTTTTGAGTAAACTATTTTAAATGTTACTAAATTTAGGGTTTGTATTAATTTTTTCATTAAATTTTAAAAACTTCAATTGTAATACTTAACTTTGATTTTGATTTTAATGTGAGTACTAGGTCGATAAACCATTATTGATGTGATGATTTGACCATTTTTTTCACGTTGAAGCTTAATTTGTGTATCATTCCAATCAGTAGAAATATTCATCAAACTTTCGAGCGCTGCTATTGGTCAATTATTGTCGTCATTTACAACAAGATCAACACTAAAATATTCGTATTTCACTTGAAAATCCATCTAAAGATTCGACATTCTACTTTGATCTCCTCTTAATATCGTTTGATGAGGTTAGTTTTTAAATTTATTGTTCATCTTCTTAAAAGAATATTTCTCACTATTTAAATATAGAAATAAGTATCCGAACTCTTCAAATCTGAGAAAACCTCAAAAAATGATGGATCTTTGTGTTTAATCATAAAAAGATTTAAAGATGCTTTGAAAAAATGTAAATTGGCAAAGTAATAGAGGACAATGAGATAAGCTCATTAATGTCTAGTATTAATGTCTAGTGTGAACGCAAAGGATGCCCAAAAATAATAATTTCCAACAGTGATTAAAAATATCCAAAAAAAAATGATCATTGCATTTTTTAATGGTTATAAAATGATGATTGTGAAACTATAATTTCTAAAATTTACAATGATTAAAATAATTATTTTAACAAAATTAAATAATCTCCAATATACTTTACTCTTTAATTTTTTTTAATTAACTATTTGTATCAAATCTATTGATTAACTAATTCAGATCGATTTTGTAGAGACTTACTATGAGTGTGATACTTCCAACCTAGTTTTTTATATGATCTTACTTAAAGAATCTAATATATCATCCTTTAGAACCAATTAATTATTGATTTTGATTTTAGTCCGTCTAAAACTAATAACTTTAGCCAAAGTTTAATAAAGAAACAAAAGAAAATAAGTGGGTTAATTATGGAAAGGGGGTCGGGTGGGGGCAACAATTCAGGGAAAACAAGTGGCTTAATAAGGGTGGGGGCGAAGTATATGCAATCGGGTATGAACAAGGTTGGATTGTCAATCGTTACCCGACATACTAGTCAAGTTGCATATATATGGAATGTGTTGGAGTAACATATAATTGGCTCAACAGAGTTGACGCGACAACGCCAGTCAACTTCATGTTGGATCTGCCGCTCACTTTCTCTTTTCCTTTTCTTAGGAATATTAATTGTTTTCCATAAATAGTTAACATGAAAGTGGACCAATCCGTAGAAATATTCATCAACCCTTTCGAGCCCTGCTATTGGTCGATTATTGTCGTCATTTACAATAAGATCAATATCAAAATATTCGCATTTCACTTTCTTTCTTCACTTAAAAATCTATTTAAAGATTCGACATTCTACTTTGATCTTACTTAAAGAATCTAATATATCATCTCACTCGATCAACTGTGTCACATCCCAATTTA